AGGAGGGAGGGGGGAGGAAGGAGGAGGGAGGAGGGAGGAGGGTAGAGGGAGGAAGAAGGAGAGAGGAGGGAGGAGGGAGGAGGCAGGAGGGAGGAGGGAGGAGGGAGGGGGGAGGAGGGAGGAAGGAGGAGGCAGGGCAGGAGGCATGAGGAGGAGGGAGGGAGGAGGGTGGAGGGAGGGGGGAAGGAGGCATGAGGGAGGAGGCAGGGAGGGAGGAGGCATGAGGGAGGAGGGAGGAGGCATGAGGGAGGGGGGAGGGGGCATGAGGGAGGAGGGAGGAGGCATGAGGGAGGAGGGAGGAGAGGGAGGAGGAGGCGGGGAGGGGAGGGGAGGAGGGGAAAGAGGCTGAGGAGGGCGGAGGAGGGAGGAGGGAGGAGAAGGGGGAAGGAAGGAGGGAGGAGGGAGGAGGGTGGAGGGGGGGGGAGGGAGGAGGGAGGAGGGGGAGGAGGGAGGAGGGAGGAGAGGAGGAGGCAGGAGGATGAGGAGAAGGGGAGGAGGGAGGGAGGAGGGAGGAGGGAGGAGGGACGAGGCAGGAAGGCGGAGGCATGAGGGATGAGGGAGGAGGGAGGAGCGCGGAGGCATGAGGGAGGAGCGAGGAGGGATGAGTGAGGAGGGAGGAGGGAGTTAGGCGTGGAGTTTTCAGGCCCGGGTGGAACCTAAGCGCGCGCGCGCGTAGCACGCGCGTGGTTCCGATATATCTATATGTGTATAACATGTATGCATATGTGTGTATCGTCTCCCCCTCTCTCACACTCTGGTGTTGGTACTGGTGACCTTTGCCTTCGGGCGCCACGCGTTGATCTGTTCCTTTTTTTTTTTTGTTCTCTCTCTCTCTCTCTCGTTCGCTCTTCATTTCCAGGGGACCGTCAGGCTTTCCAGGTCTTCTCCTGGTATGGTCTCTCCATCTCTCCCTCTCTCTCTCTCTCCTAGTATGCTCTCTCCTGGTACGCTCTCTCCTGGTATGCCCCCTCGCTCCTCTCCTGGTATGCTCTCTCCTGGTATGCTCGCTCCCTCTCTCTTTTGTCTCTCTCTCTCTCTCTCGCTGGCGTTCGTTCTAGCGTGTCTGCTGCGGGGCTGCAGGGGGGGGGGGGCTGCAGGAGGTCCTGGACGCGAAGACGCTGGCGAACCGCAAGAAGAAGGACAAGAAGAAGGGGGCAGACGGCCCAGCGGGGACCGCGATCCGTGGACCCCGGGGACCGATCGGCTCACCGACCCGGCCGATCCGGCGGTGCGTCGGGGCACCGAGGCCGGCGAGGAGCCGCTGATCGCCCGTCCTCGGCCGCCCTTCTCGCTGGCGGCGCGTGTTGGGCTGCAGGTCTCGAGGGACAAGACGCGACATGAACACACGCTTTCGGAGGTCCGTGCTGCACCGGCGCCGGGCCCTCCTCCTCGGTGCGTGGAGCGCGCCTCAGGAGCGGCGCCGGATGCGCCGCCAGGGGGGGGCCCCGCGCAGGTGCGAGAAACATCCGCGGGGACCTCCGAGACTGGATGTCGATGTCACCGCTTGTTCCTCGGAGGTCCTCTGCGCGGCCAGCCAAGCTACGGGGCCCAGAAAGATACACCACCACCACCACCACCACCACCACCACCACCACCACCACCACCACCACCACCACCACCACCACCACCCTCACCCCCTCCCCCCCCCAGGAGAGAGGGAAGGAAGAGGAGGGCAGAGGAGGCAGGAGGAATCGACGTGGTGGTGGTGGTGTATATCCCTGGGGCCCGCGCAGGAAAGGCAGCGAAGGCGCGGCGGTCTCCCCGCGCCGCGGTGCCGTGCGGCGCGCGCGGGCCCGGGCGGCTCGATGCCGCACGGCGCTCCGCGCCCTGCGGGGCGGGCGGGGCTGGCCGCGCGGGAGCGGGCCCCATGGATCGGCCCTGGGCTCGGGGGGCGGCGACGCTTCGGGCGGTGGCACTTTGTGCACCGACGCCGGCCGCTCGTCGGGGCCGGGGGCACCTCCACCACGCCATGTTGTGTTTGTCCTCGACTTGGTGGCACATGGCGGCCCAAGCACATGTATATAGACACATGTATATCTCTCTATAGATATATATATATATACACATATATATACATATCTATATATATATGTGTGTGTCAACACCTGTCGCCCGGAGAACCGGCCAGACATTTCTACCCTGTACGTTGTTCTGTGGCGGTTCTGCGAAGCCACATGGTATCGGAGGTGAGGAGGTGAGATCGAAGTGGAACCGAGAGATCCCCCTACCGGGAAATCGGTTTCGGTTTCGTGTTCGTGCGTGCCGTGCGTGCGGGCGAGGCGAAACTGCGTGGGCGGGCGAGAAATAAGTCTCTTGCAGCTGAGGCGCGGCCGGACCAACAGTCTCCCTTCCGGCAATCAGTGCCCCGCGGTGTCCCACCGGTGTCCCGCTCGGGGGCCGGTGGCGCGCGGTGTCCCGCCGGTGTCCCGTCGCTGTCCCGATAATGATGATGATGATGATGATGATGATGATGATGATGATGATGATGATGATGATGATGATGATGATGAGGATGATGATGATGAGGATGATGATGATGATGTTGACGATGATGATGATGATGATGGTGATGGTGGTGATGATGATGGTGTCCCGATGATGATGATGATGATGATGATGATGATGATGATGATGATGATGACGATAATGACGATGATGTTGACGGTGTTGGTGATGATGATGATGGTGATGGTCGTGATGATGATTGTGCCCCGATGATGATGTTGATGATGCTGATGTCCCTGATGATGATGATGATGGTGCCCCGATGATGATGATGATGATGATGATGATGATGATGATGATGATGATGATGATGATGATGATGATGACCCTGATGATGTTGATGGTGATCATACGATTTGGTGATGACGATGCAGATGATGATGGTGTCCCGATGATGATGATAATGAGGATGATTATGATGATGATGCTGCTGATGATGATGATGATGATGGTGTCCCGATGATGATGATGATAATGATGATGATGATGACGATCATGGTGTCTCGAAGATGATGATGTAGATGAGGATGATGATGAGGTGATGGTGATGATTTTGATCATGGTGCCCAATGATTGTGCTTATTATGCTGATGTTGATGGAGATGATGGTGTCCCGATGATGTTGATGATGATGGTGATGATGATGATGCTGATGATGGTGACGATGATGTTGGTGTTCCGATGATGATGATATTGATGATGATGTTGCTAATGGTGGTGGTGTCCCGATGATGATGATGTTGATGATGTTGTGAATGATCATGATGATGAGGTGATGATGGTGATGGTGGTAATCCGATGGTGATGATAATGGTGTCCCGATGATGATGATGATGATGATGTTTATGATGATGGTGATGGTGAAGATGATGGTGTGACGATGATGATGCTGGTGATGATGATGCTGTTGATGATGATGGTGATGAGGTGATGATGATGATGGTGTCCCGATGATGTTGATGATGATGTTGATGGCGTTGATGACGATGCTGTTGATGATTATGATTATGACGTTGATTGTGATATCGATTGTGATATCGATAGTGAGCTCGATATTTATACCGAGTGTGAGATCGATTGTGAGATCAGTAGTGAGATCGATCGTGAGATCGACTGTGAGATCGATTGTCAGATCGATTGTGATACCAATCGAATGAAATAGATCGAGTGAGATCGATTGTGAGATCGATCGAGTGAGATCGATCGAGCGAGACCGATAGTGAGATCGATAGTGAGACCGATCGAGTGAGACATTGGTCCCTCCCCCCCGAACCTCCTTATCACCCGAATGGTGGTCGTATAGGTATAGACACATGTATGTATATATACATATATATATATATATGTGTCATGACCTGTCCCCCGGAGAACCGGCCAGACAATTCTACCCTGTACGTTGTCCTGTGGCGGTTCTGCGAAGCTACATGGGACATGGCCCGGATACCTTAGTGTACATACGCGCGGTCCCCAGGTCATTGCCAGGCCCATCTCTGGCCCAAGATCGGTGCATACCCGATCCTGGCTGGGCCAGTGAAGCAAGATCGGCGGTCTGTATACGGTCGGGAACTTTTGCTTAGCGTGTCGCTCCACCGGCTCTTGCCCACCACGCCTCGGCGCGACACGCTATCCACTTCGTGGTCCCCAGGCGTCCACGTGCCGGGCTTCTCCCTGCCGCCCACCCCGCGAGGCGGAGCCGCCCGCTATCCGCTTGCAAGGCATAGCGTGCCACCAGGGCCGCCGCCGCGACACAAGAAGCCGTCCTTCTGCTTTCCTGGGCCTTGCCGACCGTAGTGTGTACTTGCCGTCCTGCTGCTTTCTTGGGCCCAATTCGTTGCTGGCGTGTCCCGCGCATAGCCCGACCAGCGCCTGCACCTGCTTCGATTCGCGTGCGCCGCTGACTTACAAAAGAGTACTTGCCGTCGTCCCATTGCTCGTCTGAGGCGAAGGGCGCGGGCGGGGGCGACGACGATGACGACTTCGAGGCGGCCCTCGGGGAGTTCAAGGACCCGCCTCCCCCTGCGGGGCGGCGGCGGGGCAGCGCGGGGGCTGGAGACTTGGCGGCGGGTCGGGTGTTGCCAGGGGTGATCTTGGCGCCGTCGTACTATTTGAACGTGGCGATGACTCAGCTTGTCTCGGGTCGGACGAAAGGTGGGAGGTGGGGATTGGTCGGTGGCGAGCCCAGGGGGGAGTCGCGAGTCGCGGGGGGGGGAGCGGGTCTTCTCAGAAGGCTCCGAAGGCCTCCGGCCCTCTGAGGAGTCCCCTAAGCCTTCTCCGAAACAGAGCCGGCTTCTCAGAAGGCCAGAGGGAGTCGCGAGAAGCCCCGCCGCCTTCTGAGAGGGCCTACCGTTTCTGACCCCCCCCCTTTCCCGGCGCGCCGCCAGGTGGGGAAAGGTGGTTCCGACATCTGCTGCGTGCAGCTGGTTTCGGCCCTGCCGCCTGGCGCGTTCCGCGAGGCGTCGGCGCCTCCTGCCTCCGGGGTGGCGCCGGGAAAAGCAGCGGCGTGAGCTGATGCGCTGCCACCCCCTTGGCTAGCTGCCTCTCTCGTCCGACGCGATGCGCCCTGGGAGGTCCAGGTGGCCTCAGGGGCATCCTTCACGAGCCTCGGAGGGCTCCCTGGGTCTCCTGCTGGGTGTCTGCGGGGGGGCCTCCCCCGTCGCAGGAAGATGCTTCTCATGGTGCTCGAGGTCTGCAGCTGCCGTGGTGCGTGCTTCACTGAGGATGAGCGGGCTTCTCGCACCGAGGAGGAGGAGGAGGAGGAGGAGGAGGAGGAGGAGGAGGAGGATCGGCCCACCGAGGGGGCGCGGTCGTGGCCAGAGACACGCCAGGAGGAGGAGGAGGAGGAGGAGGAGGAGGAGGAGGAGGAGGAGGAGGAGGAGGAGGAGGAGGAGGAGGAGGAGGAGGAGGAGGAGGAGGAGGAGGAGGAGGAGGAGGAGGAGGGAGGAGGAGGAGGGGGAGGGGGATGAGGAGGAGGCCCGGGGGGGGGGAAAGAGCGGCGCGGAGGGTCTGGGGGCACCTCGGGCACCCTCTGGCGGCTCCCGGGTGACCCTCCTCCTCCCCTCCTCCTCTCCTCCTCCTCCTCCTCCTCCTCCTCCTCCTCCTCCTCCCCCTCCCCTCCAGGGCCCACGGCTGGCCTGGTCCGACTTGGTTCGGATGTCCCCGCGATCAGGTGCGGCTCGGGGGTTGCATGGCGGTGTTGTGCATCCTGGCGCGGCCGATCCGACTCGATGCCGACTCCGCACCTGTCGCACCGTCCGATCTGATTTCTCGATTCGAAGTTGGCCTTTCGCAGTCGAATGACATACACAGGCGTGTTTTCTCGGTGTAACGATATTCTTCATTGGAGATGTGATATTCAATATTCCCAGGGGTACATCGTGGTTGTACATGCGGCGCCGGCTATATTTCTTGAGGTGCAGCGCAAACCGCACATCACCGAACACACGGATCTGTAACGAACTGTTGTGGAATGTGTTGTGAATATGTGTTGTTGCAGATGTTTTTTCGCGGCATATCTTGTCGAACACTTGTACGGTTCCCTTCATGATTCATGGGAGGCACCTTCCATTTCATGCGTTTCCGGGTTGACTGACTCTTAGCTTTACTTTGGAAGAGTCGTGTGGTGCTTACAGTCAAGGCGCTGAAACAGCGACCACTTTGGGCTCAGGAGGGGCCCTGGTTTTGGGGCCGTTCCATAGGTCTAGATCGGGGAACCTGTCTTGGCCGAGGTTTACTGCAACCAGAACCTTACTTGGCGTTCCTTCTGGCAGCACGGTGACTGTACTGTCCGCTGCTCTCTCCCCCCTCCTCCTGCCAGTTCCCCTCCCTGCCACCTCCGCCCCCCTTTCCCTTTCGCCCTCGAAGACCACCCCAACCCCCCTCCTGGTGCCTCTCCCTCGTCGTTCTTCTTAGGCCGCTGCGCTGCATCCCGCCTGCCAGCAACAATCTTTGGAAGGCTGGTATTTCGCGGGTCGTCGTTTGCCGTCTGTTGGGGGAGCCTCCGGTGACGACGCACCCTGGCCGGACGGGCCCGCGGGGGCAAATGCACGAGCGGAGCGCCGAGGGGTAAAGCGCAGAAAATTTTGGGCGGCTGTCTGGCGCACTGTGATGGCACTTGGCACGAGCGCGAAGTTTGCCCTTGACGGTCACCGGAGCACTCACGCCTGTACTGCGGATCTTCTCGCCCTCGTCCCTCGAAGCCGCAATCAGGCACTGGCAACCCAGATGGCGCTCGACACTGGCTCAGGGTTTCTGAGATTTCTCTCTTCTTCTTCTTCTTGTTCTCCCTTCTCCGCCTGGGAGCACGGTGGTCAGGCAAATAACACAGACGCGGAGGGCAGCTCTGGATCAAAAACATGACCATCCGTGATGTCGGTCTTATTTTTCGACAAGGACGGGAGCTTTGAGCATACGTATATTTAGTTACGCAAATACATATACACAAATGTATGCATACACATCTATACATATACATATCGAGAGTGGACCCCTCTTGGTACGTGTGATATATACATATCGAGAGGGGAAGAGAGAAACAATGCACACATAAAGAGAGAGAGAGAGAGCGATAGAGAGAGAGAGAGAGAGCGATAGAGAGAGAGAAACCATAAAGACCATATGGGAGAGAGAGAGAGAGGGAGGGAGGGAGGGAGGGAGGGAGGGAGAGGGAGAGGGAGAGGGAGAGAGAGAGAGAGAGAGACAAAAAAAAAAGGGAGAGAGAGCAACCATATCTTGGCGAAGGACCCAGCCATATGCTGTTGTGGGTGCCGTCGTTGCGGGCATCGCCCTCGGGGGGTCTCCTTCTGGGGCCGCGAGGTGTGCCGAGGCTGTGCCGACGTGGGGCGAGGCCGCCACGTGGGCTCCGTCGCCGGGGCCTTCCGCGGAGCCTGCTAGGCGGCCGCGAAGCGTGCGATGGGGTGCGCTGCAATGGGGCGGGGCCGCCGCTGGGGCCTTCGGCGGAGCTCCCTCTGGGGCCACGAGGCGCTGCACTGCGTGGGGGCAACGCACGCGGACACCGCCGCTGAGGCCTTCGGTGGAGCTCCCTTATGGGGCCACTGAACGCTGCCGCTGCACCGGGTGGGGGAACCGCACGCGGACACCGCCGCTGAGGCCTTCGGTGGAGCTCCCTATGGGGCCACGAAGCGCTGTACTGGGTGGGGGGAACGCATGCGAGTGCAATCAGTGGGGCCTTCGGTGGAGCTCCCTATGGGGCCACGAAGCGCTGTCCTGGGCGGGGGAGCCGCACGCGAGTGCAGCCACTGGGGCCGTCGGTGGAGCTCCATATGGGGCCACGAAATGCTGTACCGGGTTAGGCAATCTGGCTAACATTACGCGAGGGCATCGCAAACCGAGTGCCACTCTTCCGATCACCCGAAGGGTGGTCCTGCTAGGTATCTGTGCATGTTTCGCGTCTGCGTTCTAGGGGAGAGGCGGGACGGAAGGAGGCTGGAGTGGGGGGAGGAGGACCAGGAAGAGGAGGGCGATGACGGGGACGAAGAGGACAATGAGGACGAAGATCCTCGCTGTTGCGGGCTGGAAGGGAAGGAGGAGGGGGGTAGGACGACGGCAAGGGCGCTGACGAGGAGGAGGAGACAGAAGAGGAGGAGGAGGAGGAGGAGGAGGAGGAAGAGGAAGAGGAGGAGGATTGTCGGGGCGCTTGGAATACGGAACATATTTGGATCAAACGGCCTGGCGCGGACGATGACGGCGAGGACGAGCGCCAGGGCTCCCCCTCCTCGGGCGCGTCCCAGGAGGAGGCGAAGAACGACGATGCCGCGCCACCAGCGGGTGAGGCCAAGGAGCGGCCGGGCCCCCCTACATCCGTTTTCCTTCACCCAGCTTCAATTTGCTGTCCAGTGTCGCTGCCTTGTCGGCACGGTGATTACACAGACGAGGGCCTCAACGTTCGCGATGCGTTGTTCCCGCGCAGCCCGGAGGGGCCGTCGGGGTTGCTCGATTCTATTGTTAAGCCGTAATCACATAGCAGGAAGGTTGTACGCACTCAGTAGGAAGTAAACAGGTGCAGCATTGCGAAGTGCACAGTGCACAGTAACTATGCACGGTAAATGTTGAGGGCAGGTATTCGCCGTAAACACTAGCAGTCCATATCAGTTGTAAGCATTGAGCTGGTAGATGCGCCGTCAAGCAAAGCGTGTACATAGTGTGTGTGTATCCACATATATATATAGAGGTTTATATATAAATCTACATGCAGCTTGTGTCCGTACACAGCTCGTATGTGTGTGTGTGTGTGTGCGTGTGCACAGCGTGTGTGCATCAACATTTCCTCGTATGTGCTATCCGTAAGTACGCACCGTGCAGCAAAGCGTGTGTATACAGAGCGTGTGTTTACACAGCGTGTGCTTACACATTGTATGTGGGCATTGCGTGTGTGTACATTGCATGTGTGTTCACGCCGTGAGTATATTTTTTCCACCGAATATTAAGTATTGCATTATTGCGTGTGTACCAACAGTAAATGCGCACCGTCAATACGCACCGTGCAAATGTTTGCGCCCTCCGACCTGTGCCGCCGATCCAGGACGCTCTTGGACGCTCCGTGCGGTCTCGTCCTGTTTCATAGTTTGTGGGCTTTGCCTCGAGGAGGCAGGTGGGAGGATGAGGATGAAGAGGAGGAGGATGAGGAGGAGGAGGAGGAGGAGGAAGAGGATGATGAGGAGGAGGAGGAGGAGGACCAGGGGGAGGAGTTTTTTTTTAGTCGCTTTAGGCAGCGTGTGTGAAGAATGGAGTGTTTGTGTCGTGTCCGTCGGTCGAGTTTGTTGGCGGGCCAGTTCCCCGACGGGTTGGCTCGTTCGTGGGTCGTTGGGCGGGTCGTATCATGAACATTTCATGGTATACTGTTCCTTCCTGGCATTCCTATCTTCTCTTATCGAAGACGCCTATGGCGAATCACCGCCGCCCCCTGCCTTTGTGGAAACCCTTCTGGGAACATCCAGCCGTTGTGGAAACCCTTCCGCAACCGTGTGTTCCCCCAGCCGTTGTGGAAACCCTTCGCGGAACTTTTGAGGGAGGATGGCGGGGAAGATCAGGAGGAGGAGGAGGAGGAGGAGGAGGAGGAGGAGGAGGAGGAGGAGGAGGAGGAGGGGGCATCTTGGGAGCCTTTGGGGGCACTCTTGGAGCCTCCTGGGAGCCTCCTTGGAGCCTCTTCGATGCATCTTCGGGGCCTCTTGGGCCTCGGACTTCTCGGGGCCTCTTTGGCAGTCGTAGGGTATTCCTGGCCCGTCTGACGCCGTCGGAAGCCGTCTCGGGGGCCTCCCTGGGTCGGCTTGGGGCCCTTTTGGGGTGCTCCAGGGCCGTTTTGGAGGCCATCTTGGGTGTCTTGGAGACCTCTTAGGCCGTCTTGGGGCCCTCTTAGGGCCGTCTTGTGGGCCTCTTGGGCCGTTCTGGCGCCCATAAGGCGGCCTCTTGGCCGATCTTGGGGCGATCTTTGGGGGCTCTTGGGCCGTCTCGGGCCGTCGGAAGGCCGAAAAGAAGCAACTGCTACAATATTTCAAACACCTGAGGCAAATCAATGAATTTGGTCTCTTCGGGCCTTCCTGGAAGCCCTCTTGGAGATCTCTTGGGGGCCTTTTGGGCCGTCTTGGGCGATCCTGGAGCCATCTTGATATCGGACCCTCTTGGGCCGTCTTGGTGGCCATCTTGGGCGAACTTGGAGACAATCTTGGCCATCCTGGAGGCCAACTAAGCCGTCTTGGAGATCTTTCTTGTGCAGCGGCGGGGCCTTTCGGGTGGCCGGCGGGCTGGGCCGAAGCCCCAGGGGAAGCTCCTTTGGAACATGCACCGCAACCAAGCCGTATAGGGTGTAGCACGCCAGGCCTCCCTTGGCAAGCCAACACCTCGCGGCGGATCGAAGACGCCCACGGCGAATCACCGCCGCCCCCTGCCTTTTTGGAAGCGCCTATGTGGCCGAACGTTGAGGCCAGACCTGCCATGCTATCGGACCATATGTTCCCCGAGTGGGTTTGGAAAGTCTTCGGGGAACACGTGGGCATCTTGAAGGTCATCTTGGCCGTCTGGAGGCCATTTTGACCCTTTCGGGTCTTCTTGGAGGACGTCTTGGAGGACTCTTGGGCCGTCTTGGAGGCCATCTTGAGCGTTTTGGAGGCTCTTGGGCCATCTTGGGGGCCTCTTGGGGCCGTCTTGGGTCTCTTGGGAGATCTTTGGGGACACTTGGGCCGTCTCGGGCGGTCGGAAGGCCGAAAAACAGCAATGGGAAATCAATGATTTTGGCCTTTGCGGACCTTCCTGGAGGCCCTCTTGGAGGCCTCTTGGGCCGTCTTGGGCCAACTTAGGGCCATCTTCGGCCGTTTTGGTGGACCCCTGGCCCGTCCGACGCCGTTGGAAGCCGTTTGGGGGGCCTCTCCGGGCCGGCTTGGGACCCTCTTGGGGTGCTCCAGGGCCGACTTGGAGGCATCTTGGGCGTCTTAAAGGCCTCCTGGGCCGTCTTGGGTGCCTCTTGGGGCCGTCTTGGGGGTCTCTTTGGCCGTTCTGGGGCCATCTTGGAGGTCTCTTGGGGGATCTTTGGGCGATCTTTGGGGGCTCTTGGGCCGTCTCGGGCCGTCGGAAGGCCGAAAAGAAGTACAGATCAAAATCTTTTAAACACCTAAGGGAAATCAGTGTTTGGGGCCTTTTTCTGGCCTTCCTGGAGGCCCTCTTGGAGGCCTCTTGGGCCGTCTCGGGCCAGCTTCGAGCCAACCTCGGCCATTCTGGTGGCTCCTGGCCCGTCTGACGCCGTCGGAAGCCGTTTGGGGGGCCTCTCTGGGCCGGGTACTCCAGGGCCATCTTAGAGGCCATTTTGGGCGTCTTGGAGGCCTCTTGGGTCGTCGTTGTGCCCTCTTGGGGCCGTCTTGGGGGCGTCTTGGGCAGTCCTGAGGCCATCTTGGAAGCCTCTTGGGCGCTGTGGGGGCGATCTTGGGGGCCTCTTGGGCCGTCTTGGGTCGTCGGAAAGCCGAAAAGGAGCAAATACGAAAAAGCTTCAAAAAGCCATGGGAAATCAAATGATTTTCGCCTCTTCGGGCCCTCCTGGAGGACCTCTCGGAGGCCTCTTGGGCCGTCATGGAGGCCTCTTGGGCACCTGTTGGGCCGTCTTGGGTCGTCTTGGAGGTTTCTTGGACAGACTTGGAGGCATCTCCTTCTCTCCTTGGCCGTCTTGGACGCCATCTTGGGCGAACTTGGAGGCCATCTTGGGCCAACGTGGCCATCTTGGAGGCGTCTGGGGCAGGAAAAACCCTTTGCAACCACCTCTGGGCAATCCTCCCGGGACCCCGGCGGGACGGGCCGAAGCCCCAGGGGGAGTTCTTTTGGAAAAAGAGCCAAAACCAAAACCGTAATACTTCGGCACGCCAGACACCCCTGCGATGAATCGACATCGACAGGGGGCGGCGGATCGAAGACGCCTGCGGCGAATCACCGCCGCCCCCTGTCTTTTTGGAAGCGCCTATGTGGTCGAACGTTGAGGCCAGACTTGCCAAGCTATCGGACCATGTGTTCCCCGAATCGGTTTGGAAAGCCTTCGGGGAACATGTGGGCATCTTGAAGGTCATCTTGGCCGTCTGGAGGCCATTTTGACCCTTTCGGGCCTTCTTGGAGGACGTCTTGGAGGGCTCGTGGGCCGTCTTGGAGGCCATCTTGAGCGTCTTGGAGGCCTCTTGGGCCGTCTTGGGGGCCTCATGGGGCCATGTCTTGGGCCTCTTGGGAGATCTTTGGGGGCACTTGGGCCGTCTCGGGCCGTCGGAAGGCAGAAAAAAAGCAAATGCCACAATCCTTCAAAAACCAATGGGAAATCCATGATTTTGGCCTTTGCGGGCCTTCCTGGAGGCCCTCCTGGAGGCCTCTTGGGCCGTCTTGGGCCGTCTTGGGCCATCTTAGGGACCATGTTCGGCCGTCTTGGTGGGCTCCTGGTCCGTCTGACGCCGTCGGAAGCCGTTTGGGGGGCCTCTCCGGGCCGACTTGGGGCTCTCTTGGAATGCTCCAGGGCCGTCTTGGAGGCCATCTTGGGCGTCTTAAAGGCCTCCTGTGCTGTCTTGGGGGCCCCCTTGAGGGCCCTCTTGGGCCGTTCTGGGGCCATCTTGGAGGCCTCTTGGGCGATCTTTCGGCGATCTTTGGGGGCTCTTGGGCCGCCTCGGGCCGTCGGAAGGCCGAAAAGAAGCAAAAGTGACAATCCGTCAAAAACCTTAGGAAAATCAATGTTTTTGGCCTCTTCTGACCTTGCTGGAGGCCCTCTTGGGGGCCCCTTCGGCCGTCTTGGGCCAGCTTCGAGCCACCTTCGGCCATCTTGGTGGGTTCCTGGCACGTCTGACGCCGTCGGGAGCCGTCTTTGCGGCCTTTCTGGGCCGACTTGGGGCCCTCTTGAAGCGCTTCGTGGCCGTCTTGGAGGCCATTTTGGTCGTCTTGGAGGCCATCTTGAGCGTGTTGGAGGCCTCTTGGCCCATCTGGGGGCCCTCTTGGGGCCGTCTTGGGGGCGTCTTGGGCCGTCATGGGGCCATCTTGGAGGCCTCTTGGGCGATCTTAGGGCGATCTTGGGAGCTTCTTGGGCCGTCTTGGGTTGTCGGAAAGCCGAAAAGGCGTAAATGCCAAACTCCTGCAAACACCTAAGGGAAATACATGATTTTGGCCCTTTCGGGCCTTCCTGGAGGACGTTTTGGAGGGCTCTTGGGCCGTCTTGGAGGCCTCTTGCGGGCCTTATGGGCCGTCGTAGACCATCTTGAGGCCATCTTGGGCCGTCTTGGATGCATCTTGGGGCCATCTTAGCCGTCTTGGAGGCCATCTTGGCTGTCTTGG